CTCGGGCTTGGAACCCGACGAGCAAGCATCTACGTCCATCTCTGCTGCTTGTTAGCCAAGTGACCGGAAGCAGCTCACCTGCCTCGCTGGGCATGAGTATTCTCATCCATAAACTGGGGGTAAGTCCCAGTGAGAATGGGCACAAAAGAGAAACCAGAGTCCCAAGGTCAGGCCTCAGGTACCCAAGTCCCATGAGACACTCCAGGGGAAAAAAAAGCTCTGTGGGCAAATTTGGAAAATGCTGTATCCTCTCCCGAAATGTAGCCTAGCAGGTCGAGGATTCTGAGAAGGCCCACAGTGAAGGAAACAGGTGGAAATTTTTAAACTCAAGGTTTCTCGAACTTGACCTAGGAATCCTTTTTCTTTTTTTAAAGGAGCATTCGGTGGAGGTGGTGTTCTGAGTGTCCTTTAAGAAAACACTAGGTGGCCACGGTGTTTGGAAAACGGCAAGGAGACCACGTCGTGGGAAGATGGGGTTCGGCTAAGAAGGGTGACAGCAGCCTGGAGGTTAGGGCCTTCCACACGCTCCGAATTGTGGGCAGGAAAAGACGCTGACGTGTTGAGGGGCGATTTGACTACACCAATTAACGAAAAAAGGCTCTGGAGACTCCCCTTCTAGGAAATTCTCCTATGGATGTGCATTTAACATGTACAAGAATGCTCAGTGAAGCATCACTTGTAAATATTGAAAAAAAGAAAGGAAGAACGAGAACAATCTAGATTTCCACCCCAGGGGAGCATGAGTCATGACCCTCTGTCCGTGCAGCAGCCTGTGACACTGTGACAGGTGAAGCACGTCTGTGCACCCTGACACTCGAGCTTCCGTGGAAACGCACGTTCTCACGCATGCAGCCCCTCATCGTTGCAAGCGAGCAGCACCAAGCTGTCCCCGTGCAAGTGCTCTGGCCTTGGCCTCCGCGTCCTCATGTGCTCAAGAGCCTAGATCCTTGGTATTCTGCCCATATTATGTGCCCAGCTATGGACTTATTTACTCTGCTTAGGATTCATGGGGTTTCTGGATGTTGTGGGTTCAAGTTTTTTATCGGGCAGTCTTTAATTCCTCTCTTCTATTCTTTCCTTCTGGGACTCAGATTTGATGTTAGACCTTCTCATTATGTTCGGTTTCTTCCCACCTCTTTCATATTCTCCTGGTAAGTATGTTAGGTATACGTCTTACTATCGCATTCTAAATAATTTCCTAACATATTTCTCCAGTGCGTTATCTCTTCAGTTGGGTCCTATCTGTTTGACCCATCAATTGAGTTTTAGATTTCAATAATTATATTATTCATTTCTTACAAGAATAAGTGATTTCTGTGGAAAAAGAGGGGCCCTCCCCAGAGGTGTCAGCAAAGGGGAGGGCGGGTGTGTGTGCAGGAATGGAAAGAGTCCTGGATTAGAGAGGGTGGGGAGTTAGCCAAGCCCACCTGTTCTAGATGAGATCTCTGAAGTCCAGAGAAATTATGCGTTTTGCTCAGGGTCACGCAGCTAGTTAGTGGCAGAGCCAGAGTTGGAATGCAGGCTTTCTTAGTTCTTGATTAGTCTACTAATTGGTCAAGACTATCCCAGGGGGAAGGGGCCAGGCATTGAAAGGATTGAGATGGGTCCCACCTTGTGTCATCCAAAATAAGCCATGAATGAAGTGTAAAGACATCCCCCCAAAAAGCTGACGTTTTTCCATGATGACTACTTTGATGTTTGTACTAAAAATATACACTGATAATCCATTCCCAGCTCCCACTTTTTGTTTTCCCTTTTGGTGCCCTTGCTTTGTGGGACACAAAGCAAGCGCTTGGACCAGGTCATTGGGAACTGTAGCCCGAACAAAGAACGGCCATAGCTTCACCTGCACTCAGGGCCTGGCAGGATGCCCTTAAACGCAGCTGGAAGCCAAGGCGGGGTGGCGGGTTCCCACGGAGCCCCCAGCTCTTCCCAGTTACTGGTTCCTACGGAAAAAAAGCTGAAAGGCAGATGCTCCAGGGGGCTCACCTGGGGTACCACCGCCATCTGCTGGCGTACCCCGGCCATAGCAGCAAGCTCAGGCTGGCAACTGTAGAACAAAGGAGGCCTGTGTGTGGAGACGCCCAGCTGGGTCATTTGACATTGCGGGAAGAGCTGAACGGCTCTGTCCATCACCAGAAGGGGCTGCCTTTCTGCAGGGAGTGTGCAAGCAGGGAGCCTGAGACTGGGCTTTACACGACTCCCAGGTTTCATCACTTGGAAATCAGAATGGCCAAGGTCTTAAGATCTTGGAATCCTCAAGGGAATCCCTACTCCTAACTCTGCTGCCTGGTCACAGTCACACAGAGGCTGAGAACTGCTGAAGGTCAGCCAGCTCGTCCCAGCTCGTCCCAGCCCCTCCGCTGTTACCGCCTCCCTCCCTAGCCATCCTTCCCTATGGCTCATCCACCCCCACCCCTGTGGGCAGCCTTTGTTCACCAAGGTCATCAGTGACATTCCAGCCAGGGCAGGAGAGCTTTTCTTTCTCTCTTTAGTCCTGCTGTGATTGTGGCTCCACTGTCTCCCTGTCCCTGCTCTGTGTGTTGACTTCCTGCCCAACGCTCTGCTTCTCCCCCGGTCCCTGCTGTGACCTGGGACCTCTCTATAGCTGTCCCTTTAACTGCCATTTGGATGCTTGGGGCAAGATGCTGTCATCAAGCCTGGTATTTCTCTGGAGCACCCCTCACATTCATCCCTGACCACCCAGGCATCGGGGTAGTTCGCTGCCCGGTCCACCCACCCTGTCTACACAGGGGCTCAGCACTGCAGCATCCCCCTTAAAATATTTGGTTGTGAAATCATTTAATACTAACAGAAAGTTGCAAGAATAGTACAAAGAACACCCTTATACCCTTTACCAAGTCATTAATTTTTAACATTTGTCCCATTTTTTACCTCTTTAGTCTCAGACATTTTTAAAATTATTAAACCATTTGGAAGTACATTACGTAAGCCCTTAACCTTGACTTCAGTGCTTTATTTCCTGAGAATAAGGATATCCTCATTCTTCTTAGAGAATTATCAAATTCAGAAAATTAAACATTGAGGCAGCATTTTAGCCTAATCACCAGTCTGTTAATCTGGAACAATTCCTCAGTATCTCTGTCCACTATGATGTTACTGTAAGAAACATCCAGTTTTGAGTCAAAACTGATGACGTTGCTGGGAAGATCTCAGATGCTCCAAAGAATAAGTTTTGCAGCTTCTTTTATGCACTCAAAATTAAGGGAAGATAAGCTTACAGGGAGGTGAGAGAAAGCAAGGTGGGGGATTGGACTGCAGGACAGTTAACATTAGGGGCTCTCTAGAGAATGGTGACGCCTTTTGACGGGTATTACACATTTCAAGGGTGTGTTAACCTAGAAGCCAAGGACAATGGACAGGACTAGCTTGAAAACCTCTCGCTAAAGTAATTATAGGCCTGGGGTGTGACGACCTACCATGACCTGCCCAGTTAGGAATCTGTGACTTGTTACAGCGCTTTTTCATCCAGAATGTTTGAAGTTCTCTATGATCAACTAGTGATCTTGTAGAAATCATAAATATACTTGTGTGATATATGTGAAATAATCCTAATTGCAAAAATGAATATTTGGTCTCGGTATAGTTTTTTTAAATAAAAAGTAAGATTTATTGAAAGTACACTTTAGGAGGCGGGCCACGCTAGGGAAGGCTGCGGCCCTGTGGAATTTGGTAAGTGAAGAGATAAGACAGTACGCCCCAAAGGGAGGAGCTGTAACCTTGGTAGAGGTTCTTTATACATGAACTAGAAAGGTGCTGTGTCATATTAAATAATTTGGATAAAAGATGAGTTCACGGAAACTAGTACATGGTACAGAAATAGAGGTTGAAGAATTTAAGATTTTATCCGGAAAGAAAAAAAAGCAGTATATCTAAATCAATGTTTTATATGTGCTTTTAAATATGTACAGATAATATTACAAGTAGACATTTGGCTATTTCCACCATAAAACCTAATTTATGTGGTCAGATTAATCAAAACAATCTTCTCATTAGGAACAGGGAATCTTGTCTTTGGGAAGGTACTCTAATATGGGATGGATTTGATAAGAGTACAGCCATGTATGTCAAGTGTAATTGAAAAATAAAATTTAAAAAGCACTTTCAAAAATAATAGTGTGACAAATGTTGAGTAGAGGGTTGGATGGGGCTGCTCACACATGCAGTGTCTCTGGGTTAAAAAACCATCCGGGAGGAGAAATAGGATGCTAGGTGAGAGCTAGATAGAGTGCCCTTGCTACTCTGGACATGTTCTCTCCAAGTCTTCAGGACAGAAACATGTTGACAGTAACACTCACTGCAGATGGGTGTTACGGGGAACTTCCTTTCCTCATATAATTCTTCTTTCAAAGCTGGAATGATGCCTCTATTATAGATGCAAATCAGAAGGGAACATGTCTAAAGGAAGCTTGACTTCAGTTGGGACCACAAGTGAAACATTTCAGATTTTAGCATTAGCTATGTCTATAGAAAATTTAAAATATATATATAAAGACACAAGTTATTTTCTATCCCAGGTGCCACTCTATTTTGTGATAGACTTTTGCTCCAGCGTTCATCCATTTTGGCAATAACCCCCAGCTTCACACTTCCAAGTTTCCTCGGCTGTGTGGGCCCATGACTTACCGACAGCTGTCCTATCTCATGCTGTAGAATCCTCTGGCTCCTTGGGAACACAATCTAAACTCTTATCTCCTTTGGCCAGTTGCTTAATCCATATGCATGAACAGATTGTGAGGGAATGTCAGTGGTTGAGGCAAGTTTCTACTGTCCCTATTTCATCATGCAAATCAATCTGAATGTAAGTTTGTGATAACTGGAAATCAGAGCAATAACTAGAAGTCATTCCAGCCACCCCTGAGGCCTTTGGCCTCTTGAGGAAGGTGGCTGCTCCAGCCACTGGTTTTAGTCAAGCATGGTCCCACAACCTTAAAGGGAAACATAATTCTCATTGAATCTATCAAGAATTAGGCAGAGCATGGGTTCAAGATTGTTTTTATTTTCAAAGCCTGCAACAGTTGGTTAGCAATGCTAGTTAAACTGGTATAATCTGAAGGCCATTCCACCTCCCTTTTCAGGCCCAACAAACAGAATTCCTGCAAACAAGATTAGAGACCAACTGAGATGAGTCTCACTGTGTGGGGACGGTCTTCTCCCTCTCCCCTCCTGTTCCCTATTCCCCACATACTTTTTCTAACAAGATTGTTTTATAGCCAAATGCAACTCAAACCCATTAACACAGCAACCAGTCATCTCCAGTATCACTGGTTCCCTCCCCATCCCCAGAATAGGAAGCCGAGGCAAGAGGGGAAACTGACTCTTGTGTATAAGACAAACTTGGCTTCCACTCCCCAAAATGGAGCAAAGATGGCGAGGAGGCCGGTGCCTGAAGGTGGGGATGAGTGGGAACCAAACAGGCTTGTCCAGAGTCAATCAAGTCAGCCCCAGCTCCTTGAGTGGGAGGTGTTCCTTTGAGACCCCTACTTCCATGGGGTTAGGTGAGGAGGCAACTGGTGATGCTCCATCACTCCCTGTCCCTCAAATCAAAACATGATAAACTCAGTTTTACCTTCAAAATCCACCACACTGCCTCCTGAGAAACACATTCCACAGTCCTCTATGCTGGTGCCCGCCCCCTTGATGCCCAGGGCTCCTGGCCCTTCTCCCCAGCCTTGGATGGGCCAGCCAACACTGATTTGATACTCTTTGACTCATAAAAAGACTATTTTTTTTGGAAATTAAGTTATCAAAGAGTAGAAGGAAGTTATCAAAGTAATAGAAGGAAGATACTCAGTGTGTACTCCCCTCCCCCATCCCACAGAGCCCACCCATCCCTGCCCCCCCATTCTGGGATACCTACACTACCACAGCCCAACACTGACCTGGGGGTGGCCCCATGGAAGCTGCCAGAAGTGCTTTCCTGACTGTGACTCCTATACAAGCCAACATCACAGGGAATTGGGGTGAGGAAGAGCAGGGTCACCCCCCCAAATAGATTTCACCGGCCTTTGAGGTAGGTTTGGGAGGTTTAGCTTATGTCCTGGGGCCAAGGCCGAGTCCGGTGCCTGCTCCCACCAGTACCCCAGGCTGTGGCTTTAAACAGCAGAGCCTCCTGGGGTGACAGAGCTCCCAGTTCTGTCCCACGACTTCACAGGTTCGCCTCTTCTCCCCACTCCCTTTTTAAATTAAAAGCAGAGGTAGTCCTTGGGATAAAACCCTATCTGGAGTGGCAGTATTATGACCCATCGCAGCAGTTAAATAAGTCTCCAGGAGTTAAAAAAAAAAAAAATAAAGTGATTGATGAGGTTGAATAAATTAAAGATATGGGTTATCCCACAAAGACCGTTTCCTTCCTGGGCTGTCTTTGGTATTTGGCCAGCAGCATTTCCTTTTGTGTTTCTTCTCTCCACGCCTAGTCTCCTGCCCCTCCCCTCATGAGGGGACAGTGCCCAATAAGGCCCTAGATGGTCCCTTCCAGCTGTGGGGAGAAGGAGCCAGAACGTCTTGACTTGGTGCTCAGAACTGTGCCGTGCCGTATGTGACAGCCTTGGCAGACTGTCCTGGTACAGGGACGGAAGAGGCGTAGCCAGCAGGATGCTATGGGCTCCAGCCCAGGGAGTGTGGCAGGTAGGTTTCAGGCAGGAAGCCCCAGGCCCTCTCCAAATGTCACCTAGCTGGCCCCTTTGCTCCAGTCTCTCTGCAGCGGCGGGGAGGGTCGCGCTGCGCTCAGAGCTTCTTCAGGCGGCTGTACATCTCCCTCTTGCTCTTCTCCCCGGCCCAGGTCCGGCTCTTCGTGCGGAACTTCTTCAGATCTTCTTTAAAGTCCTCGTGGTGCATGGGCCGGTAGCTGGGGGGCTCACAGTGAGACTGGGGGACAAGGGCAAGTGAGGTCAGGGTGCCTCTGCTCACTCCTGTTCCTGCTCCCCGCCCCTGCCCAGGGCTTCGAGGCTGGGACCGGCAACACAGAACTGGTCAGCAGCTCCTAGGGCCCCTCTTGCGCAGGGCAAATCCCCGGATCCCCGGACCCCCGGCAAAAATAGTCACAGCCACCAGGCAGATCCAGCTGGCCATCCCAGGCCAGGGGTGGTCATGCTCTCCAGAGCCCCTCTTACCTGGCATTTCAGGAAGAACTCCTTGTATCCGCCCTTCAGGACATACAGCTCAGGGTAGTGGAGTTTGGGGTACTCGTTACCAAGCCGATCCCTCTCCCTCACGTAGCGGCACCTGTAAAAGAGGCCACAGCGAGGTGAGCCCTGTGCGGACACGCGGGGAGAGTGGCCGGAGGACGCCCTGCACGGGCCTTCCCAGCTCAATCCTGGGAACAGCAGCGCGGCCTGGCGAGGTCCTGGCCACATGCGGCCTTTAAAAAGTGTCATTGCGTTGTAATGGAAGGCAGATGGTCTCTTCTCCAAATTTCCTTTTCCAGGTTAAACAGCCCTAGCATCTGACCCTTGGGTTCACAGTGTCCTCCCGGCCACCGCCTGCATTTCATCTGTGGTGATGGCCTCGAACAGCTTCCCACTCATTCTCCACCCTCACCACCTTCCCAGCCCTCTCTCCCTCGCTCCCCGTCGGAGGGGGCTCCTCCTTCCTGTGGCTTCTCCATAGGCCGAGCACGTTCCTGCCTAGGGCACCTACTTGCAGCATATGCCTGGGATGAATATTGAATGTTCTTCCTTGATGTCCTCACCTGGCTGGTGGCTCCTTACTGCCCAATCCTGGGTACAAGAGCCAAAGGGCTCAAAGGGGCCTACACCTTGTCACCCCCACTCCCTGTACTCTCCCCTCACGCTCCGCTCCAGGCACTGTGTTCTCCCCTTGCTGCTCCTCCAACCTGCCAGGCAGCTCCCGCTTCCGGTCATATTTTTCTCAGAAGCATCTTCTAACACATTGCACACTACACATCTGTGATGCTGGCCTGCCGCCTGCCTATTCTGAAACGTACGCTCCTTGAAGGCAGGGGTCTCAGTCTGTTTTGTCCACTGCCATTCTCCCTGGTACCTGGAACACTGTCTGGCACGTGAGCGGCGACAGGAATACCTGCAGAGGGAATAATTCCACTCACGAATGGACGTGAGGTCTTGCTCAAACCCCATCCCTTTGTGTGACTGTGGTTTTGTATTAATGCAAGGCAAAGTCCTCGTCCTTAGGAGACGGCTGCTGAAGGACTTGGGGAGACACGTGCCAAGTTCCTGTTGCAGCTGTTTGTGTGAATGTGACAAAATATCAGCAATCGAAATAAAACGAAGCACGTGCAGGGATAACCTCTTTTCGAGCTTTGAAATGGTTCAAAATAAAAAGGTAGTACAAGAACATGGCCCCGGGGCCTCTCTTGGACCATCCCAGCTGAAGCTGTTCTCCTTCCTGCCACCGCTCTAACCATCTGCCAGTACTTGTCACAATCGCTCTAACCATCTGCCAGTACTTGTCACAATCGTCTGATGTCACCCTCCTGGGACATCCGTTGTAGCAGCAGGGGGTCCGTCGGTCCTGCTCACTGCTGTACTTTTATTAGGCCAATAGCACCTGACACATTCCAGGCTTGCGGTCCTTTCTGAAAGGACATGGATGATAGCTGGACAGCTGTCTGCCCCCTCCTCTAGCTTTTCAATATCATCAGTCACTTCTGATCATATTTTTCAGCGCCAGTCCTGTGACATCATTAGTGAGAATGTGGAAGATGCTGTTCGAGCATCAGAATATTACTTTAAATCTTCGCTTTTCTGGCATCTGCATATAGAGCAACCACACTGTACCTGAAGGATGTCACCTGAGAACTGTAGCCCCACAGGTAGAACTAAGGACAGTTGGGGGAAAGTGGAAGAGTCATAGTTTAAGTCAATATAAAGGAAGGTTAAATAGTGAGCCATACCGGACAGCAGGACTAACTCAGGAGTGGGGGAGGTGACACAGAGGCCAGATCTCCAGAGGATACTGCACAGGCAATGCTAGCACCACAGACAGGCTGGACTGGAGAAGCCCGCAAGCCCTTCACAACCGAAACCATTAGGTCAAAGCCTATAAACCACGCTCAAGCTGTTTATGACATTAAGTGACTGCTAAGTAGAGAAGAATCTGAGAGAATGTGTTACATGCAAATTTATACTTTCACAAAACTGTGCATTCACATGCCACGTGTGTAAACTAAGGCACGGAAATGATGGACAACAGGGGGCTCCCAAGGCGTGCCACACGCCGCCATGCCCCACAGATACACCCGTTCTGTGTAGCAGCACTCACATGCGAGGGCCTCGCTCTGAAGAAAACTCGCAGTGGAACACCACGATGACGCGCTTGCCGTCGGTAGGTACGATGGGCTTCTTGAGTAAGAAGTCTTCGACCTCCTCTTCCATGTGCAAGTTCACCGCGCCCTGCGAAGGCACCGGAGACCCTTGGCACCCGCCCATCTCACACCTGCAGTGATAATTCTGAGAGGGATCTTTAAAGAGGCACCTCAAATTCTGTTATGACTGCATACTCTCAGTGCTATTTGTGAATCTGGGAAGTCTGAAAAGCCAGGAGACAACGGCAAACACTATGCTGTATTTAAGGTAACTTCTTGCCATATTCCAACACTATTTTATTGGTTAAAGATCGAAATGCATAGGCAGCTACATTCTTCCCAGGAACACCCCTCCCCACCAGGCAGAGCCCTGGCGTGTTCAGGCCTGGCTTAGGAATTGGTGGGCACCGCCTAGAAACCTCCTTGCTGGCGATGGCGTGAGGGCCCGGAGAGGGAGCGCCGGCTGCATGACACGGTCGAGTCCCGCAGGCCAGGGAACAAGCGCACCAGGCGTCACCGTTCCCACAGGGGTCTCTTACTTCTCATAACCAGCGTTTGAACAAAGAAGCGGCCAGGTGTCACCGCCCCCCATTTTAAGTCACAGATGCTGTCTAGGGCACCTTCTATGCCTCCCACGTTCGCGGGGCTCACCAGAACGCATACCTTGATGTGGCCTCCCTCGTATTCATACGGGTATCGGCAGTCGATGATAACAAACTCTTTAATGAGGTTGGCAAATTTGCCATTCAAAACAGATGCCATCTGTGGAGAGAAAGCCCAGGGGAATTGGCTTTGGCTGCCAGGAACAACCAGATTCAAATATTCCACGTGAGGTAGTCTCCAAAGGGTGACTTACAATTTCTGGAGAGATGTATTTTAAATCCTGATGCTTTCCGGCAACTGTATGAAATAGATAACCCTTAAAAAGATATAGAGAGACACTTAGCAAATCTGGAAGCCTATAAACGCTACATTTATACCACTTACCTGCCTGGTAAGAGGCAGCTTTAGAAAAACAAACTTGCCCTTAATATCGAGCATTTAATTTTTACACAAACAGATAAGGTCTATCCTCCCCCATTCCAGCCGTTAAAGCTGAACAGCTTCTCCAAGGTTAGCGAGCTAGCCTGCCAGAGTACGGAAAACTCGGGTAATTCGCTTTCCTCTGCTTTTGTCAGTCCTCAACTCAGCAGCCAGACTGTGAAGAGCAGTGAAAAACTCAGTGAAGTCTATGACCATGTCACCCTGAACAAGCCCGATCCTGTCTGATCTCAGAAGCTAAGCAGGGTCGGGACTGGTTAGTACTTGGATGGGAGACCACCTAGGAAGACCAGATGCTGTAGGTGTAAAAAATAAAAAAAAAATAAGGGATCGTAAGCTGACAAGGTCCTTGCGATCTGTGAAGTCAACCAAGGGTTGCTTTGCCTAAAAAATAAATAAATAAAACTCAGTGGAAAATCCACTTCGCTCATTTACTGAGCACCTACTGTGCCCAGCGTGGTGTTAGGCACTGGAGATGGAAAAAAAGAGACCCGGCCTGGCCTTGAGGGGGAAGACGGAACATCAGCAATGACTCGTTAGGGCAAGTGCCCGGGTCAAGGGCTCACCCACTCCCATGGCCATGTGCAGGGTCATTATGACAAATGTATGGGCTTTGATTCAAATGGAAGGGTTCACAAGAGAGGATACACTCGGGTCTTTGCTTGCTCCTTCCTTTGGACTAGAATTATCCCATTTTTAACCTTATTCTTCCCTGTTCCTTCAAAACCCCGCCCTACTGGCTGAAATATCATAGGCCCAGATCCCATCCGCTGAGATGACACCCTTTCTTTTTCCTGGCCTACTTACACTGTACTGACATCTACTCCAATCTGCCGTGGCTACACGTGGTTCCTGTCTACGTGGTTAGACAGGTCTCACTGACCATGAGTTAAAGTTTTTGAGGGAAGGAATTGGGTCTCATTTTGGAATCTTTGCCTAACATAATAAGCACTAAAAAAACGTTAATTAAATTAATGAATAAAAGATTGGTCTGGTAGCCCTTCACATCATATGTGGCTAGAGGAGCTGCTACTGTCACATTCCCTATCCCACCCTCACAGGTCACAACAGCTCACAGGTGGCCAACTCCTTCCTGTAGGAAATCCCTGTCAGGCCATCAGCAGATCTTCCTTTGGACCCCCTGGAGGCCTTTTCCCTCAAAGGCCATGCTTCTTTGGACAACAGAGAAATTCAGTCTCAACCCTGGACCTTTTAAGATAACCTTGTGATACTCTTGTAGTGAGCTTATAGGTCTATTTATGCTTTTCTGCAATACTATTTTTTATGATCAGAAACACAGTTCCCAGAAACCCTGGCCTTTGGGCTAGAGTCAAGGGGGCTGGTGAGTGGCTTCGTACTTATTAAAACCTCTGATTAGCAACAGTAAGGTCTACAGTCCCACAGAGACTAAGATACATCTGATTATGAGTTTGTTTCCTTATCTTTAAAATTTTCAAACTATGTCCCCTTTGGGGCAGCCCAGGAGCCACCTCAGGGACGGGGAAAGGCTGGGAGCTCTAGGTAACCTGCCAACCCTGCCTCACATAGCCAAAGGTTTGCATCTGCTTGAGATTACCTTGGAGAAGTCTCCTATAAGGTCCCTTGGGTCATTATCCAAAATGTTCTCGATGGTCCCTTTTGTGGACGACACCAGGGATAAAGACTGATGGAGAATCTGTAGCAAATCAAAGGTGGAAACTGAGGCTAGGACTGAACAGGACTTTTAAAAATATTCACCTGGAACGTGTCATGAAAAGATTAAAATGTGTATGCCTATGTTTAACAAATAAAGACTTTTTATATTTTATTGAATTCAGAGAAAAAAATGGGTTACTGACTAGGTCTACTATTATTTCATTGTCTAATTGAATTGCTCTGAAACTAATTTTTCCTTTTTTTTTTAAAAGAAGATTAAAAGTAAGGCAAAGTCTAAAAATGTATTTCTTAGCTCTATTCACTGAGAAGCTCTAGGCGTGCCACGGGCGCCCCTGAAGGGCTGTGTGGTCTCTACATACTATTTTCTGCTAAAATCAGGGCTTTTTGAAGTGATTGACTCCAGGCTGGGACAAGGAAGCTATCAAACCTCTAAGTGCATGTCAAAAGGGCTTATCATGGGAGATAAGAATTTCTTAAGCTCTAAACAAATAAAGATTGATAAATTGAAATACAAGAAAATCTGTGTACCAGAAGAACAATATCAAGTAAAAGAAAAGGCAAGGCTGAGTGGGGAGATATCGATCCAGCCAATAAAACATTTCATTTCTGAATATATACAGTACTCCCACAAAATAGACAACTCAACAGAAAAATGGGCAATCAACTTTGACAAGCAATACAGAGAGGAAAATCTAGGACCAAGAAAGACTATCAGGAAAATTCAAATGAAAACCCCAGACAGCATACACTCACCAGAATGATTAAAATTAAAGGGACAGACAACCCCAAACACCGGGAAAGAAGTGGAAGAAATGGAACTCTCGTACACCGTTGAGTATAACCGCTCTGGAAAACTATTCAGTGTGTACTACCACCGAAGTGACTAGCCTAGTACCAGCATTTCTCCGAGAAATGAAAGTGTACACTTACAAAAAAGGGGGGAAAAAAAGAGAATGTTTTTAGCACAGACCTTATTGGATTCAGATCTGAAGAAAAAGGCATTTAGGAGACAGTTGGAGATGATATTGAGAAAATAAAAAGGAAAACCCCAAGTCTGACAAAAGGAAATGACTCTTCTTAAATATTGATATTCAAACAGGAAGCTTTCTGAAAGGCAATTTGTTGACATGTACACAATGCGAAGGTTCACAAACATTCCTGCCCTTTAATCTTGAATTCCGCTTTTACTTGAAAAAAAATGAAATGTTCATAAAGTATTTGGTACCTACAACAGATGATAAAATATAAGGCACCAGGCCTAGATGTTTTCATGGCTATGCTCTAGCTAATCTTTTAAGACAACTGATATTTACTCAAACTTTTTCATGCTAAAGAAAATAAGGACAGTTTCTCAGTCTCTTTTATAATGCTTAATACTAAAATCGGATATAAGGACAGTATAATGAAGGAAAAACATGTACAAACAAAAGCAATTCTAAGTAAACCAAATACGACACTTCAGGAAACTGGGCTAGTTTTAAAATCAGGAAATCTATGAATAGGTCAAAATATATATAAACAAGTTAACAAAAACAGAGTAACCACAGCTGAGATGTAATAATGTTTTGCAGGCTTCAGTTCATAGAATAAACAGAGTAGGCAATGCAGAGGAGCAGAGGACTTAGGTCCAGAGAACCACGACTAAACTTTAAAGACAGGTCACTCATCCAAAGAAATGTTTAATGGTCAATAAGAAATAACGGAGACGCTGAATCTCCCCAGAGTCAAGAAACAGACATGAGTTACCACTTCCCACACATCAGAACAGCCAGATCTCCTAGGAAGGATACATTTGGTGCTGAGGAGGTTTTGAAGAAATGTATCATTTGTTTCTGGCAGGCATGTGCACCGCTGACTCCTTTTAGAGAACAGAATGAATGCACATAACATATTTACCGAGCGACCCCACTTATTCCCCCAAAAATGAATATGCAAAGATGGTGACTATTGTAGCTATTTATAGTGTTAAAAATCTGGAAACAATCTAAATGTTAATTAACAGAAAAACAGCATATCCATAAGGCCTCTCATGCCGCTTTTAGAAAATAATTTACTTTTGTATACTGACCTACAGGGATGTTCATGATATATTAGTAGACGAAGTTCCAAAATAACATGAAAACAAACCATACAACTACTAGCAGTGCAATTAACTTGGGCAATCAGGCAGAATTAGATATACTGAAATTGACACCAAAGAGGATACATTTTTTTGTGAGTACAGGTAAAGCCTTTATAAGAATTAAACTTTTATTAGGCCACAAAAGGTCTGAATTAAATGAAGGAAATAAAGGAACTAAAATATCTAGAACTAAGTGACAAGGGAAAACACTATGAAGTCGCAAGACAAACTTAAAGTAGTGGGAAACTTAAAAATCTCAATAGATCAGGGGAAGATTAAAAACGAAAGAGTTTAGCATTAGATTCATGAGGCGGGAGATGGCAACACAGCAAATTCAAAGAAATAAGCAGCCCTAAGAAAAGCCTGCTCTGCCAAGCCAGAGGACAAGACAAGGCAAAACTTTTTGACAACATAACACTCTGCTCCAGCCAACACTAAGGGGAAGACCGTGGTCTTACTCCATGCTCCATCAGCAAGGGGGAGAGCTTAGGCTTCTAGCCTTGCCCAGCTGTAATTAAGTGCCCCAATCTCTACTCTACTGCAATAATGTCAGCACAGGTCTAGCAGAGAGCTCAAACTCTCGTTCCCGCCCAGCAGTCCTGAGGCCTGCCTCCACCCTATGTATACCATATGAAACGAGGCTCTAGCTGTGTTGGGGAACCTGATTTCCATCCCCACCTTCCCCGCGGCATCAGAGGATGCCTGCTAAAACAGAAGATTTACATAGACCAGAGTCATCATGATACCCCAAATACACAGATAAGATTGAAAAATCACTCATCACGCCAAGAACCAGGAAAATCTCAACTTGAACAGAAAAAACAATCAACAGAAGCCAACACCATGACACAGATGTTGGAACTGTCCACAAAGGATTGTAAAGTAGCCGTCATAAAAATGCACAAACAGGCAATTACAAACACACTTGAAACAAATGAAAAACAGAAAGCAAGTCTCGGCAAAGAAGAAGAACCCAATGGAAATTTCAGAACAGAGAAACAGTTTCACTCTCTGGAGCAAAAAGGAATCTGCAAAACTAACCTCCTGGGGCTTCTCTGGACTAGCAGCGTCCTGTGGACTGGCCCGAGCCATGCTCTTCCTCCGCTTCGTGCTTCCAGGTGGCGACTCCTCTTGAGATCGTTCTGGTCTTTTCAACACTGACCGCGTGGTGGAGCTACCCGGGGAGGGGGAGTCAAACAGCTTGCAGCGATTACCCTGTGGGGAAAAAAAGAGCCAACTTTCGTTAAAACTTGCTTGCAGGGTTAGAGAATGGACCTAGGACTTCTTGAGATGGATTAAGACCCACCCTAAATGAGGAAACACACTGCCCATTCACCTAGTCCCATCAACTCTTGTAGGGCCCGGCACCTAGTAGATACTAAGTACCTGGTGCTCAATGCATATGTACTGAGCTGGCATTACATGGAGGTGAGGAAAACAATCGGTGCCCTCAAAAAGCTTCCTGTCTACACAGGGTTTTAAGAGTCAGGTAACTGTCACCTTCCAGGTGAGAACACATTTTTGGTTTCCTCTGCCCTGTTATTACATGCACGTTGCTTTAACATCTCAACAGATTTTAAACACATGTGGTACCCTCCAACCTTCCATGCCTTAACTTATCTTTCTGGCTCAAAAATGAGTAGCTACAGTGGCCACCTCCTAGCTCTGCTAAAGTCCTGTAATTCAAGACCGGTTGTTCTTTTTTCTGTATTTAAGAACAAGATCTCTTCAAAAGGAGCCTTTCTGTCCATAGCATCAGGTTTGAGTCTCCTTATTCTACTTGAGTATTCTCTGAATGTGTTCTAGTCTCTCCGTACCCTCCCAAATGTGGAAAGGAAAACATGATAATCCAACATGTTCTCTCCACCCCAACCAGAACAGGGCAGGGTTAACATCTCCTCTTTTGGTTCTGGGCCCGGGGTTGTCCAGTCAGCCCCTGAGTTAGAGTGGCTGTGTCTGTGGCCCTGTCACCGACAGGGCCACCCGCTGGGTTGAGTGGGTGCGGATGGTTCCTGCAGCAAAGGCTTTCTAATCACACGGCTAAGATCACATTCTTTTTGTCAGCTACAAATCATTTGCTCATGACGCTGTCAATTAAAATCTAAGGCAATACCACATCTTATATAGTTTAAGAATAATGGACTCTCTTAAATTCAATTTAGCAGATATGTTCCAGATATTACCCAATAACCTTAAACCCTAAAGGTTTAGAGGCTGGAGTTGTATAGAAAGGACATTAACTGACCAAGAACGGTTGGGATGAACTAGAAATTGTAAAAACAGGAACTGCATGCATATATGTTACCCAGACTTCCTCACACACCAATGAGGACAAAAAACTTGAAAAACACAGTGTGCAGTAACACAAGAAAACACTAGTGACCAGTCAAGGCTCATAGACCCAAAGCCAGACTCTCAAATGAAACAATCTGATTCCTGTGGTGATGTGAGCAGAGGGTCGGTTTTCTGTTTAGTCTAGTCCACTCTGTCCCAGAGGCCCAGTTACTCTAGGCTCCCTCCAGGCACACTGGAACTACTTACAAGGTTCGTAGTTTTTCTCATGACCAGGGGAGCTGTCCAGAGGCTCGCCATGCAGGATGGGGTCTCTTCATCATTCTAAAGAAAGAAAAACGGTTACAAAGATTTAAACGCTTTAGGTGTGATTTTGCCTGAAGAACACCAGACAGGCCTGGACAGGAAGTATCTCATGTCTGCCCCTCTTCCCCACTCCCCAACATTTTAAGGTCCAAAGAGAAACACATTTTATCGTTCAGTTATCTGAACACAGCTAAAAGCACCCCCCACCCCGTATGGGAGGAGGGATCCAGTCTCTTCAGTTTTAGGCCATGTGACTACCAGTCGACCAAAGTTTCACATCTCTTGCACAAAAATAGACAGTGAGCTCCTTTGGGGTAAGAAGGATTGTATCGGTGTCTTCTCTTGAAGTCCTCCACAGGATTTAAATGGGCTATAAAGTCTCAGCAAACAAACAAAATTATCAGCCAACTCAAGTCCTGGGGAATCACTGTACTTTCTCACATGACTTCTCTCGGGGTATCAGTGGAATGGATAGGAACACACACACACACACAGTACCTTCAAATTCTCTCCATCGAGAAGGTCCATGAAGCCATCATCCTCATCAGACAAAGTGGCAGTCACAGGTGACTGGGGCATAAAGAGAGGAATGAAATTTCCTGGTTCACGACTATCTCTTTCATTTGAGGAAAGCTGCAAGACAGAATTCATGGCTTGTTAATAAATGATCAGCTTTACTTTCTTTGGATGTGTCACTAGTTTTTATGAGGAAAACATACTATATTTGTTATAAGAAGTAAAATTTTAGCAGCTACTAATCAAAGGAATATGAATCTCAAGGCTATAAATGGTCTGATCTCCACACACAGTCCTGAGTCATGTCAGGCCAAGTAGCCTTCACAAAGAACTCTTTCCAGAAGCAATTCACCTTACAGTGGCATCTGGGGGTAGCCTCTTGTGAAAGACAGGTTTGTTTTGTCAGAGGACAGATCAACATTAGGGTTGAGACAACATGATAATCCGCTGAAATGAGGAAGGGTAAGAAGATACAAGTCTCTAGGGAGACCAGAAAATGGCCTAGAGAATGCTTCTGTAGCTCCAGTTCTGACAGAGGGAAATAAAGGGTGTCCTGGTTCTAGAAAAGTCTATCCTAATTCTTTAGACTTGGATTTTAAATGACGGCTGCTCAGTTTTTAACTGAGGAATTACTGTGTGCCAGACACTATGCTATAATCTTCACACATCTAGTCCCATTTAAGTCTCACAACACACTAAGGGCAATTTGTTCTTATTTAACAAATCAGAAAACCAGTGCTTAAGCACAGTTACCGAGATCACACAGCTCACCTGTCTGACTCCAAAACCTAGGCTTTTCTCCCCACTATATTTTCCCTAGGAGACACCATTCCTGGAGTAAAACTGGGGGCATCTCATTAGGCAACCCTATCTTGATTTCTGGGGGGAACCACCATTATAGAACTAGTATACATTTAACATAAAAAGTTAAACCACTCATATATCTACTACCTAGAGATAAATACTGCCAATACAAACATTGCTGATACTTTATCTTTTCCACATGCACTTTCGAAGCCAGAAAAAAAGTTCAGAGATATGTATACATATAAAAAGTTCAGAGTAACAAAGTGGTCCCAACATAAGCCATACAAATATCCTTAAGATCCAAATCCCCTAGGAGTATGGGTGCATTAAGAGGCCCTCAAGCCAGCCCCTTGGTTTTTCTGTGCGGATCACTCATCTAGGAATTCTCTCTGCAGCTGGCCTACTCTGGTTCAGACACTAGCTTTGCATCGCACCATAGAACAAGCTCTGGGCTGTCCTTGATCCTCCACAAGGCACCTGAGCACCCCCTGGGCACGCTGGCAGTTTTCCAGCCAGCAGAACCTAGGGGTAGGTAACTCTATCACAAGGCAACACCCTTCAAATGCGCACATCATGTTATAATATGAGGTTTTGTGACCTGGGTTCTCGGATCCCTAGAAGCAAATGTGCTATAGAAAATGACAGACTAATCTCTGGACTGGATTTAATTCTTTCTACACAAGTCCTACGCCAAGAAGCCATTATGAGGAAAGACAGATGGAGCTTGGAGATTAAAGCAAGGATACAAAAAAAAAAAGCCCTGACATAATCAAAAGCCAAACTGATGAGATTAGCACTGGCTTTCTTTCAGTTTGCACCTAGGGATGACCAAGTGATCACAGGGAATGCTGGCTTCGAGCACACACGCACTCAACATATTTATTTGGGTACTCAGCTCTCAAAGGCTCACTGCGTACTTGAGAATCAGAAGGGTTTGTTAAATCCTGGTCTTCTATTTATCTGTCTCCTTTGGCAAATCACCCAACCTCCCTGACCACACCTTCCCAATCTGTAAAAAGGATAAGTCCGGCTACTTCTCAGGCTTACAAAGATTAAAGCCAAGAAAACATAAAAGTGTTCTGTGCAAATGCTAGACAGCGATGCTGGCTGAACCCACACCTTAGACCACAACTTTCCAGATGTAAGTTCCCAGGAAAACCTGGAAACCAAATGCAATCGTTTTGCTCAAGTTGGGCCTCTCCCGTCTATAGCTGTCAGATCACCAGTAGGAAAAACTTTGGGAGTAATGACAGTCTGCCTGGCAAATAAATAACCACAGGGCACATGGCCCCAAATACCTTCAAGTAGCCCAACTGGCAATGAGTTCATGGAAATCCACAAAAGTTCTTAATAAACCACCTTTGGAAGAAGCCAAGTGCTCTCTCCAAAAATCACTCTGGGAAGTACCTTTTAGCACTCAGATGCATTTGTGAAAGAGCAAGTTTTAAATAAGACACAGAATTCTACCATACGCTTAGGACAATGACCCGGGTCGCTCACTGATCATTTTCCCGGAATTGACCAGGTCAAATATTCCTCACTAAAGCCCAATATTTCAAACATGCCATCTCACTCTCCTTCTGCCTGTGTGCTCTCCAGACACAGCAAAACACCAGAACTGTGACCACCTAGTTTCGAAAGACAAAGTCAAGGTAAAGACAGCAAGAGCTACTGCAGGGTCTTCAACTCCAGGTGAAAGAGGGTGCTTTTAATTCTCTCCCCATCAGGAACCTCCCTACGATCGCCAGAGCACATACCATCCGAGCCGGGGCAGAGTTCTGCCTCTGTGCGAAGAGATCTTTACCCTCCTCAAGTCCATGAGAATGCAGGCAGCCACGAGATGCAGGTCTTATTGGCTTCTTAAACTCAAAGGCTTCCTGCAAGACAGTAGAGTCGAGACATCGTCCACTGTCCACGGAAACCACCTAGAGGGCCTCAGCTACAGTTCAGGTGAGACAGCCAAGGGAGCGGGCACTGGTCACCTCCGTCACTGCCTCCAAACTAAGAGTTTACCCATTTCTAACTCCAGCACTGGACCTGTGTAGCTCAGAATTTCAAAGACTCTGTCAACAGCTAACTTCTAATGCAGCATTTTTTTCTCTCACCACTTTATTTTTCCTAACGCATTTCTGCCAAGTACACAAAACACTGAGTTATAAGCTAAGTCAACAACTTTCTAAAATCTAAAAGAAAGTCATTTCAATATGACTCTGAGCAGGATCCACCACTTTTCACTCTAGATTTATGTCTGAAGGCTTTATATTTTCTACCTTATTCCTAGGAGAGAATTCATTTCCACTTAAAATTATTGTATCCCATACTCAAAGCCATGGGAAAAACACTACCGGTTTACTCAACATGGACGAACCTCACATAATGCTGAATGAAAGATCAGAAGTGATAGCATATGCACTGTATGATTCCATTTACTTAAAGTTTAAAAGTACTCATAATCCCCCTACCCTAAAATATCCATGTAAGAACTTGGTATTAAGTGCTCAGAGCAGTAACGGCTAATATCAAAGTATTTATGTGCCAACACAGTACTAAGTATATTCTATGTATTAGCCCATCAACCACCAACTACAACCAATCATCCTCATTTTACAGATGAAGAAACTAGGCCTTCTAGGTTACATGATTTCCTAAAGATCTGGCTTCCTAGCCAGACAGGACAACCCCAGAGTGAGAGCTCTCCAACCTATGCCATTTCCCCTCCAGAACGGAGCTCAGAGCAGGCAACCCTATGAGAAGCCAAGTTTGGGAGGGATGAGAGTGGGGACCAAGCTGGCATGGGTACAGCTCTGGACTGTTCTTTGGTAAAAAAGACTACACAGAGGTTGACACAGTCTTCCGAGCACTCAAGGCAGGAACTCATCTCTGTATTCTCCCTTGGAACATCTTGCAATTTGCCAGAGGAATCACTGGGAGAGTTCATGGAGGCGCCATACTAAGTCTGGAAGATTATAAGGCTTAGGAATTTTAGTAGGAAATGGAAAAGGGGAGAAAATATATATGCAAATATATATAAAAAGATTAGAATAGTTGAGCTAATTCATTTAACTATTTTGAATGCCTGCCCTGTACAAGGCACTCTGCCAGCTATGAGAGAAAAGCCAGGCCAGGGTGTTCTTAGACTTTTGGGTGGACAACCACAGGCTCACCCTCAAAGCTACCATTTCAGTTACTCAAATTCCCTGGGACTTGTTGGCTCTGTTCTTTCAAATACTGTCAAGCAGCCTTTGCCTAAGCTTACAATTCAGCCCAAGGTCAGCACAAAGAAGAAAGGAAGGCCTGGGCAGACCCTTCCAGATAAATTATTCGTGAATATAATTACTCCTAAGAGCTACCATCTGTGCAGCTGCTACCTGCCAGGAATCATATGAAATCCTTTGTCTACATTATCTCATTTAATTCCCACAACAGAGCTGCTAGATACTGCTGTTCCTATTTTACCGGGAAAAAAAAAAAAACACCTAAAAAAGAGAAAAAAACTGGCCAAGGTCACACAGCTAGTAAGCAGCAGGATTCAAATCCAAGTTTCTCTGACTCCAAAGACCACCATGACTTTGGTGAAAGTTTAGGCTCCCAGAAAGCAGCCTAGCCACTTCTCTGTAAGCCAATGACACTTGTGGGTTTTATCTCTGCCAGCTACATTAATGCCACACTCACGTTTTCCTTGTTCTCATCCTGGTCCATCAGCTGAAAGACATCATGGTCAAGAGAATCAGAATGGCTCCTCTTCAGAGCCGGGCTACACCCCAGGAGCTTCTGCTGTCAAAGTGAAGAAAGGAATTAGGGTACACAAATGAAAATCCAATGGCAACTCAGTTCTCAAAAGAAAAAGAAATAGAGAGGGGCCTAGCAATTCACACAGTGCAGTAAGTGTGGCCAGTGTTCAACCTTGTCAGGACACAGGACATAAGTTCCCGCTATGTGGCTTTACACCTAACCCCACAAGGCCTATGGTCCCTAGCAGGGATTTAGGGCTGCCAACTCCCCCTACCAAATAACATTATTTGCATAAAAAGAACCCCTCCTGGTTTGATAAAACTCTGATAATTAGAGATGGTGGGAAAAACCCTCAGGAGGCAGTTATTGAAGCTTTAGGAGCATGACTGCTTATGAAACTTAAGGCAAAGCAGTCTTCATTGCCTACCTAAAGGTCTACTATCAAGGTCACACTGGTAGCTAAGGGGCAAATAAGAGGTATTAGTTCAAAATGAACTTACAGGTAGGCAATTTATTCTCCTCATGGGATTATCAAGGCTGCAACAAAATCAGAAGGTAAACAATGAGAATAAAGCAGATAAAGAGGTAGTCACATCGGAAGATGCATTGTGTCTCACCTATAGTTTGAAGGGTAGTCAAACATTCCCATTTTAGGCAAGATGGAAGAACAGCTTTTTGATGCTGTCCTATTCTCACAAGCACCCCCAACGCTGGGCTTCACGGTGAAAACAACAAACCCAGGTGTTGTCTTAAAATACATTCTCTTAAGGCTATGACATCAGCGGTTGGGGCAAGAGCTTGGGTGAGACTCAAATACAACACCAAATTACAGCTAAAATAAAGGAAAGAAAGTTCTGAAAGCTGCTGACACAAACTACTCATTCTCAAAAGGGACCAGACTGCTTATAGGATCCAGTTTTACGAGGGACCACTAAATCCAGAGCTCCAGTCCGGGGCATGATGAATTTCATTTAAAAAATTAAGAGTATTTTTCTAAGCACAAACATTTAAAAGCAGTGAATACATACTTTTCTTTACTATCCAAGGGCCCAGGAGAATCCAGACAGAAGCCTGTGAGAAATAAAAACATCTTTCACAAAATAATACACGAAACACCATTTTGTTATTAAAATAAGTAAGAATGCTAGTACTTTTTCTTTAAGCCAGTCAATAGACTTATGGCTTTGATGATATGCCAGAATTGAAGTCGAGTCTCTATGTGATTGTCAAAAACTTAATATCTGCACAAGTCTTAACATTTTCATGGTATATCTACTAACCCCCCTTTACTACTTGGCAAATACGATGAAGACAAACAGGATTTGAGAATAGAAACTGAATTAAACAGACTTGCTTGGTCATTTAGACAGAGGTTACCCAGTAACTTTCTGTGAGTTCTACCCATGGAAAGAATAGGGAATCCCAGTTTCCGGATATAGTTTTGATTTCAAATATTTTATCTTGTCCGATTATATGCATAATTTGGGGGTTTGGAAAATACAATTACGCCATATGACCAGCCAGTTTAAGTATTTATTGCCTTCCCCAAAGTAACGCCAAGAAAGGTGCTCATCTTACCAAAGGCAGTAAGGTGGAGGAGACTGCTTAGCACCACCCAGACCCACCAGTGCCTGCCTAGCATCCATCCACCTTTCCTCCCTGCTATCTAGATAACCGGACAGGAAGGTAGGTGTTCGCTCCTGACTCATGTGGTCCCTTGCCACATGCCACAAAAAGTTTCTGAGTGAAAGCACATGTTTCGGCAAATTCCAAATATCGCTCCCGACACAGCAGACACATGATAAACATGGAGGACTTAAAACAATACCTGAATCGGTTGACTCGGAGGAGCCCACTCTCTGCAGACTGTTGTTTCTCACCTCCAGTGACTGTTCATACTCGCTGAAACCAAGAGAAATAATTCTGTTTATAGGACATAACTAAAAGGTTACATACAAGAGACAGGCTGCCACTTATGATCGTTACTTCTAGACCACACTACAGAACACCATGCTGCCACAACAGCCAGCTAGCACTTAAGTGTTAGAGATGAGAAGGGAGTGGGGTGGTAGGCACTGGCCTGGGTCGCATGATAGGATAGGATGACGGTGATGAATGTTGGAGTATTTCCTGAAATGGGAGCATGTGCTCTAGGTACAGTGCTAGCAGCAGGGATGAAAAATGAATAGGACAAGTTCCTGCTTTTCAGAGGCTGGAAAATCTACACCACATGTACTTACTTAGAAAACAGGATGTCCAAGATTGAAGGAAAAGCAGCTTCACCACAAACACTGTGGGATGCATTTTTTGCTATGAAGAGAAGTCCAGGGAGCTTTTGGGTATGGAAAGCTGGGTAAAAAGGCCTGGCCTGAGGAATGCATCGCGGTGGACATCACGAATGTGCACAGGGCGAGGGGCTGCGCTGATTTTGCACAAACCCCAGGAAAGAAAATGCCATGTCCCTTTGTTGAGAAGGAACAAAGCTCACAGGAAACTAGATCCTGCGAGGTGGTTAAGCGAAGGGTGGAAGCGAGCGCCTAGGAGGGCCCGCTCTGCCCCGTGGGGGTCGATCTCAAAGAACTTCCTGGGATAGAGACAGAAGAGTACAGGGCAATCCGAAAGGGGTGGCGAAGGTGGGGAGCCCGGGACGCCCCCACCCCCTACCGGGCCTGGCTCGGGGCTGAGGGCAGCCCTGGAGAGTCCGAACGGCCTCTCCCGCCCAACATTCCGCCTGGGGGGGAGGGTGCACATGGCGAGCCCCCGCCAGGCGGGGCCGCTCCCAAGCGGCGGAGAGGTCTGGCCCTTCTCGCGGCCTGATCACCCCGAAAGTGGTCTGGGAGGTCAGCGGCCTGCGGCACCGCTCGTCTACCCCTCCTCACCTGCCCAGCCCCTGCAGTTGATCCATGGTGACCGTCAGGTTGGTGACAGGCGACAGGCCCCCGGCGGCTGGCGCGCCGAACAGCGCCTTCACGACGGGCTGTGGCGCAGGAGAGGGGCTGCAGGCGAAGAGCAGGCGGCGGCGGTGCGAGGGCTCCGGGCCCAGTTCCATGGCTGCGCCCGGCCTCCCTGGGCTCCCGCT